CATCCTCTCCCTCTTTGTATCTTAGAGACCCATATCCAATTCCAGAACCCTACAATTATTGTTTTAATTAATTTGAGATGAACTAGTTCATAATACATGCTCATCATGTTCTCTGAAATCACTTCTGTTTATGTCTCCACTATAGCCCTTCCTTGTTGGAGTTTTCTTAGTTGTTTTTGTATCTACTGTTTTCATTTGTATTAGAGCCCCTTAAAAGCAGAGACCATGTCTTCTTATTTATTTTTGTATTATTAGTGCTTAGCATAGGATATGCCTGTGGTTTTTTCTAAAGGTGGTTTGTCAATATTTTGCTGAGTAAATGAATGAATTGATGAGTGATAAAGGTACATTCTAATAAACGAATTGTAGATAAAGTGAGACTGGGTCAATTCATTTATATTCACTTACATGGCTAGCCTTTAAGTTTCTATTTGAGATTGGCTGTCAGGAGCTTAAACAAATTAAAAATAAGAAACAATACCCCAATTAGGAAAATGTTCCATATTGTTTAGTTTAGTATACAAAATGGAATTCAAAAGAGGCACCCTGGAATATTATAAAATGTAACTCAAGCTATAAGTTCATTTTGTCCATAAATCTCAGGTGTGCTGTATTTTGGAGGAAAATCTAGGTTTGGTGGTCAGCACTGGGAATGATGACTGATTTCTGATGGTGGGTTATCTAGGTGGGTGAAGTAGAAAATCATAGATGCCACCTCGTGGCTTTTTGGGAGACCCATTTTTTATCATTTTTATTTTAAAAACAATAATTGCTCTAAAACTTTTAGAACTCAAGATATATTTCTGGTTAGGCACAAGTAGCAATTATAATATAGTAAAACTCAAATTAAATAAAATACCTGTAGTTTTGTCTTTCCTTCTTTCTTCCCTCCTCCACTCCGCAGCAGGACTGAATATTTTTAGATTGCTTATCTGAGTGATTGTCTCTGATCCTGGTAAACTTGTTGACCGTGTTTGCCCTGTGGGTACAATTATTTGAGCAGAATCAATTCTAGTTTTTTAAATGGGCAATGTTTTACTTCCAAAAATTAGAAACCACTTGCCTATTGGGATTTGTTACAATTATCTAAGTTGGTTTACTTCTTGCAGAAATTATAATCCTGTGTTTCTGAGACCAGTATTTTATTAATATCTGAGGAGTAAAACAGATTCCCATTCAGCCCTTCCCTAGTAATGATTCTTATCCTTCTTAATCTTCTTTGGGGAGTAAGGAATCACCCAAGGTTGTTCCTTTTATTGCTGTTTTGAAATGTTTGGCTCTGTGCCCAGAAATTGACTATGCACAAGGTATAGGAGTAGAATATACACTCTTGATAACCTGGCTCCTTGGTCATGTGAACTGTATCTTGATATTAATAGAGGAGTTACCAACAGGTTAAAAGATGTCTTAAAAACTGAGATAACCTCTTTGAGAAAAAAATATTGAACATTTTTTCCCACATTCTTTTTCTTAAAAAATTATTTGCTCTGTTTTTAAAAGTTACCTAATTTAATAGTTACCAAGATTTCAGTATAATAATTCAGTTTCAAGTTTTCTATTATCAATAAACAATTATAAACATTCATAAAGTAGAGTAAATGGTACCCTATAACCTTGATATAACCATTACTCAGATTCAAAAACTATCAATAGTTTACTGCTTTTGCTTGCCTCTTACTTTTTCCTTACTTGGTTTTTTTTTTTTTGCTGAAATATTTGAAAGCAAATCTCATATTATTTCACCTCTACATTAAAAATATTTTAACATAACCACAATGGCATTATAACACTTAACAAAATTAAAAGTGGTTCTTGGTCGCATATAATATTCAATTAATAACTGATTTCCAAGATTGTATCAAAATATGGTTTTTACAGTTGTTTGTAGAGGATGCACACATCCAGTGTCAAAAATGTAGCCGAATTCCAACATAATACACATTGATTAGGAACATAAAGATAAAATCACCTGTATGAACTTTGTAAAACTTTAAAATGTAATTGTGTTCTGCTATTCTCGATATCATCAACATATATTTAGAAAACAATAGTGCATATGTGTGGTATTTTTCAGAATACATACAGTGTTAGATGATCGTATGTATTTGTAGTATTTGTAATAATTTTGCAACCCCTCTTTAGGCTGTGAGTCTTTGATCTAGACTAGGTATGTTAAATGATTAGAGAAAATGCTAATTTAGATAAAGATTTGCATTTATTTCAGTATTTGTTATATTGTTATTGTATTTTGTTTACTGGTTTTATTAAGAATTATAAACTAACCTCTCTTGGTGGAATTTTAGTTATAACTCTGGATTATTCTTCTAGTGATTTTCTAAGGCTTTATGCTGTGGAATGCTTAATACATGAGATAACTTTAGATCTTTTGGCATACTAAAATCTGAGAGCTTCTTTATACTTGATTTTGCCTTATTCCATTTTTATAATACTTTTTTAGTTACTCACATATTCCTAAATCGTGAATTTTACATTATTCAGAAGTTATTTTTAAAATTAAAATGATGCTTTATGAATTAAATTCTAAAAATTATAATCTCAAGGAAGTGAAACTTACTTATTGTAGAAAATTGAGAAACTGCAGAAAAGGAAAGGAAGAAAATGATCTCTTATAATCTGGTGACCTAGAGAGAACCTGTTAATATACTGAAGTATAGCCTTCCAGTTTTCCCTGTTATAATTTGGCTCATTGGGCCTATACAACTAAATATTCTAGTTTTTCCTGTTTCATTACGCTTAGAAATGTGATTTTTACAGATGCCATAATATTTCACCATATTTCACTTAAACACTATGTCTTTGCTGAGCCTATAGTTATTTATAACTATTATAACTAAACCAATAATTATTATTCTATGATTTCATCTAATTATTTTTCAAAATAATTTAAACTTACTTAGTAATTATTAACTAGTGATAGCTCTTTTAAACTAACTGTACTATGAAATACTGAACACTTTTTTTGTTGTTGTTTACTTCGACCTCCAAATCGCGAGAATCTGTTCTATGCCTTCCAAGTTCCTAGGCACATGACATCTGCTCATTCCTTCTTCTCATCGCCACCCTTTACATCTTGTTGCATTATCCCCCACCTTATTACCCCAGGGAACTTTTAAGTTCTCACTCAATCAAGCTGTCCCCAAAATATTTCCAACTCTTACTCTCTGAGATTCAGTCCTATCATTGTATATCCCAAACAACACAAAATGTTCAGGGGAACAAAATGGACTTTCAGTGACCAGAATCTATCTTTTACAGGCAGTTATAGAGGAAATTTTCCTTCGTTAAACAAATAAATATCTAATAATTTGACCTGAACATTTTCCAGGAATAGCTGTGGAGTTGCTAAGAGGTGAGGCAAAGAAATATGTCAGATACTTAGCACAATGCTTGGCACATAGTGCTTAATAAAAGATGATAATGGTGGTGGTGATGATGATGATGATGATGATGATGGATACATCTCCTTCATGAATATATTGGGTTGACCCTTGTGAAATTGGCATTTTCATAAACCAGTGGTATATAAAATTATATTGCATATAAGATGTTAAATTATGTTTAACATATTTTGAGAAAACCCTCTGGGTTGAAAAATAGACGAAACGTACTTGAAAAAAATTCACTCAACTGAGAAAGCTCTGTGGGTTCTATCAATTATTTTACTATTACTAATTATTATTAGTATTACATGTGTATGCATGTTCTTCAACTGCAAAACTTGAGTCTAGTATACACAAATCCCTCCTGCTGTGAATAACCTGGAAAAAACAGGAGCTGGAGGGTTAACATTTTAGCTTGGGGGAAATAAAAGACAAAGCAGGAAGAGACTTGGAAAGACAAAAAGGAAGGCATGATAAAATAAACCAGATCTTGGCTCTGGCGCGGTGGCTCCCACCTGTAATCCCAGCACTTTGGAAGGCCAAGGCGGGTGGATCACGAGGTCAAGAGATCAAAACCATCCTGGCCAACATAGTGAAACCCCATTGCTACTAAAAATACTAAAATTAGCTGGGCGGTGCCTGTAATCCCAGCTACTTGGGAGGCTGAGGCAGGAGAATCGCTTGAACCCGGGAGGCAGAGGTTGCAGTGAGCCGAGATCGCACCACTGCACTCCAGCATAGCAACAGTGCGAGATTCCGTCTCAAAAAAATAGATCTTTTTCGGAATGACACCTGGGCAGCTTAAGAAACAACTATAAACTTTGACATAAAATTATCATGAGTTGAGATAGAGAATAAATTTGGACCCTTACCTTACACCATATAAAACTATTAATTCACAATGGATTAAATAGATTAATGGCCTAAAACCAAGACCTAAAACTATAAAACTCCTAGAAGAAAACATAAAAGAAAAACTTAAGGACATTGGATTTGACAATGATTTCTTGAATACGACATCAAAAGCACAGGCAACAGAACTAAAAATAGACAAATGGGACTACATGAAACTTAAAACTTCTGCACATCAAAGAAAGCAATCATCAGAGTGAAAAGCGACCCTTGGAATGGGAGAATATATTTTCAAATCTGATAAGAGATTATTATTCAGAATATGTGAGGAAATTCTACAACTCAATAACAACAACAAAGATAAACTCAGTTAAAAAATGGGCAAATAACTTAAATAGACATTTCTCTAAGAAGATATATAAATGGCCAACCAGCATAAGAAAAGATACTCACTGTGACGGTTAATACTGAGTGTCAACTTGATTGGATTGAAGGATGCAAAGTATTGATCCTGGGTGTGTCTGTGAGGGTATTTGTCAAAGGAGATTAACATTTCAGTCAGTGGGCTGGGAAAGGCTGACCTATCCTTTATCTGGGTGGGCACCATCTAATCAGCTGCCAGCATGGCTAGAATATAAAGCAGGCAGAAAAACATGAAAAGACTAGACTGGCCTCACTTCCAAGCCTACATCTTTCTCCCATGCTGGATGCTTCCTACCCTTGAACATTGGATTCCATGTTTTTCAGTTTGGGACTCAGACCGGCTCTCCTTGTTTCTCAGCTTACAGCCAGCCTGTTGTGGAACCTTGTGATTGTGTGAGTTAATTCTTAATAAACTCTCCTTTATATATATAAAAATTCAGATTAAACTCTCATATTATATATCTATTAGTTTTGTCCCTCTAGAGATCCCTGACTAATATACATTTTGGTATCCGGAGTGTTTCCGGAGGAACAGAATATTAAGAATGGAGTTCTTTCATTGGTTTTGGGGTTTCCGGAGGTGGCTGCTTAATATAATTCGGCCAAAAAATGCTAAGGATAATACTTCTAATAGTATGGAGAACACTGATAGTGCTTGGCAGAGACTGTTTAGACAGTTATGCAAAATAAATGCATTTGACACTCCTGATTCATCGCTTATGAGAGGCAAGGAATTTAGTGACTCTATACATAATATCTTTGACCATATGTGGAGAACCAAGGAATATAATAGACCTGGTTGGTTGCTTCTAAGTTCAGCGGACAAAGTGATGAAAAACAATGATGAACTCAGGGATTCTAATTTCCTGCTTCAGAAGCAGATATTGAGCCTCAAATCTGCTAAGATTGCCCTGAGTGAGACACTTAGCTCCTGCAGAGAAAGAGCTGAAATTGGGGAAAACCAGACACAGGCTCTTATCATGTGAGTGACTGACCTGCAAAGAAAGGTGCATGCGCAGCCTTGCCAGGTGTCCACTGTTAAAGTGAGGGCACTGATTGTAAAAGAATGGGATCCTGTAACTTGGAATAGGGAATGTGGGAGGACTCTGATGAAGCTGGGGATAGTGAGTTTGCAAACTCTGATGAACCTTCTTTGCCAGAAGAAACAGCTTCCACATCCCAAGTAGTAGCAACATCCCCTCCCTGACCCATGCTGCCATCCGCCTTTCCACCTTTGTCTAAGGAGATAAATCCTGTGCTGCCTGAGGCGAGAGTGATGGCCTCCCTGAGGCAGTTGTCAGGCAACATAATGTTGATTCTCCTCAGGAGCCACCCCAAACACCCCTGTTTGCTTCTAGAGCTACAACTAGATTAAAGTCCTGGTGGGACCCTAGAGGTGAGATTCCGAGCGTGACCCATGAGGAGGTATGTGACACTCAAAAAGAACTGCTTGAGTTCTCTAATTTACATGAGCAGAAATCTGGAGAACAGGCATGGGAATGGATATTAAGGGTGTGGGATAAGGATAGATGGGACATAAAGTTGGATCAGGTTGAATTTATTGATTTGGGCCCACTAAGTATCGGTTCTGTATTTAAAGTTGCAGCTCGGGGAGTTAAAAACAAAAGACTTTATTAGTTTATTTGCTTGGTTAGCTGAAATATGGATTAAAAGATGGCCCACTGTGAGCCAGCTGGAAATGCCTGATCTCCCTTGGTTTAATGTAGATGAAGGGATCCAAAGGCTTAAGGAGATTGGGATGGTGGAGTGGATTAGTCACTTTAGATCTACTCATCCCAGCTGGGAGGGTACAGAAGATATACACTTGACCAATGCCTTGTGAAATAGATTTGTGAGGGCAGCACCTGCATCTTTGAAGAGCTTTGTGATTGCTCTTGTCTGTATGTGAGATCTAACTGTGGGAACTGCAGTCACTCAACTACAAAATTTAACTACAATGGGGATAATTGGATCACGAGGTGGCAGGGGCCAAGCAGGGGAACTCAACCGTCAAAGGCAAGTTGGGCATAGCTACCATCATGGACAGCAGAAGCAAAGCAACAATCAGAATAGTCTGACTCGTGTAGAGCTCTGGCATTGGCATTGGCAAATTAATCATGGTGTTACTAGAAGTGAAATTGATAGGAAGCTTACTGCATTCCTACTTAATTTATATAAGCAGAAAACTTCTAGGTCGAATGGACAAAAGACTAATTTGAATTATAAAAACAGAAAATCATGGCCCCTTAATCAATTTCCAGACTTGAGCCAGTTTACAGACCTAGAACCTTTTGAATGAAGGGGTGGCTGGGTCACCTTGAGGAAGGACCCCACTATATTACCGACAATTTATGCAGTGAATCTTTCTCCCCAAGGAGACTTTTGGCTTTTTACCAGGGCATCTGTGCAATGGGAAAAGGGAAATGATCAGACATTTTAAGGACTACTGGACACTGGTGCTGAGCTAACATTGATTCCAGGGGACCCAAAACGTCATTGTGGTTTTCCAGTTAAAGTAGAGGCTTATGGAGGTCAGGTAATTAACAGAGTTTTAGCTCAGGTCTGACTTACAGTGGGTTCAGTGGGTCCCTGAACTCATCCTGTGGTCATTTCCCTATGCATAATTGGCATAGATATATGTAGTCGCTGGCAGAATCCCCGCGCTGACTCCCTGACTGGTAGGGTGAGGGCTATTATGGTGGTAAAGACCAAATGGAAGCCATTAGAGCTGCCTCTACCTAGAAGAATAGTAAATCAAAAACAATATCACACCCTTGGAGGGATTTCCGAGATTAGTGCCACCATCAAAGACTTGAAAAGACACAGGAGTGGTGATTCCCACCACATCCCTGTTCAACTCTCCCATTTGGCCAGTGCAGAAGACAGATCAATCTTGGAGAATGACAGTGGATTATTGTAAGCTTAACCAAGTGGTGACTCCAGTTGCAGCTGCTGCACTAGATGTGGTTTCATTGCTTGAGCAAATTAACACATCTCCTGGTACCTGGTATGCAGCCATTGACTGGGAAAATGGCATTTTCTCCATTCTTGTCCATAAGGCCCACCAGAAGCAATTTGTCTTCAGCTAGCAAAGCCAGCAATATATCTTTACTGTCCTACCCCAGGGGTATATCAACTCTACAGCTTTGTGTCATAATGTTATTTGGAGAGACCTTGATTGCCTTTTACTTCCAGAAGATATCACACTGATATCACTCTGGTCCATTACAATGATGACTGATTGGATCTAGTGAGCCAGAAATAGCAAACACACTGGACTTACTGGTGAGACATTTGTGTGTCAGAGGATGGGAAATAAATCCTACTAAAATTCAGGGACCTCCTATCTCAGTAAAATTTCTAGGGGTCTAGTGGTACGGGACCTGTCAAGATATTCCTTCTAAGGTGAAGGATAAGTTGCTGCATTTGGCCCCTCCTACAACCAAGAAAGAGAGGCCCAATGTCTAGTGGTCTTATTTGGATTTTGCAGGCAACACATTCCTCATTTTGGGTGTGCTACTTCAGCCCATTTATCGAGTGGCCCAAAAGGCTGCCAGTTTTGAGTGGGGTCCAGAACAGGAGAAGGCTCTGCCACAGGTCCAGACTGCTGTGCAAGCTGCCCTGCCACTTGGGCCATATGACTTAGCAGATGCAATGGTGCTTGAAGTGTCAGTGGCAGATTAGAATGCTGTTTGGAGCCTCTGGCAGGCCCCCATAGGGGAATTACAGTGGAGGCCTCTAGGATTTTGGACCAAGGCCCTGCCATCTTCTGCTGATAACTACTTTCCTTTTTAAAGACAGCTCTTTGTCTGTTACCTGGGCTTTGGTGGAAACGAAATGTTTGACTATGGGTCATCAAGTCACCATGTGACCTGAACTGCCTATCATAAGCTGGATGCTTTCTGACCCATCTAACCATTATGTGGGTTGTGCACAGCAGAGTTCCATCACCAAATGGAAGTGATATATAGGCGATCGTGCTCAAGCAGGTCCTGAAGGCACAAGTAAGTTACATGAGGAAATGTCTCACATGCCCATGGTCTTCACTCCTTCCACCCTGTCTTCTCTTCCCCAGTCTGCACCAATGGCCTCATGGGAAGTTATCTATGATCAGTTGACAGAGGAAGAGAAGACTAGCCTGGTTCACAGATGGTTCTGCAGGATATGGAGACACCACTCGAAAGTGGACAGCTGCAGCACTACAGCCCCTTTCTAGGATGTCTCTGAAGGACAGTGGTGAAGGGAAATCTTCCCAGTGGGCAGAACTTCAAGAAGTGCACCTGGTAATGCACTTTGCGTAGAAAGAGAAATGGCCAAATGTGCCTACATCTTTCTCCCGTGCTGGATGCTTCCTGTCCTCAAACATGGGACTCCATGTTCTACAGTTTTGGGACTCGGACTGGCTCTCCTTATTCCTCAGCTTGCAGGCGGCCTATTGTGGGACCTTGTGATCGTGTGTTAATACTTAATAAACTTCCCTTTTTATATATATATATAATATGTAATATGTTATATATAATATATAACAACTATATATATCCTATTGGTTCTGTCCCTCTAGGGAACCCTGACTAATACACTCACCATCAGTAATTATTTGAGAAAAGCAAATCAAAACCGCTATGAGATATCACCTCATACTCATTAGCATGGTCACTATCAAAAGAACAGGAAAATAGCATGCTGGCAAGGATGAGGAGAAGTTGGAACCTTTTTGTTGCACCATCATGGGAATGTACAATGGTGCTGTTGCTATAGAAAGTAGTATAAATCTTCCTTACAAATTAAAAATTAAATTACCATATGATCCAGCAATCACCTTCATGGGTATATATCCAAACAAATTTAAAGCATGATCTTAAAGAGCTATTTGCACACTCATGTTTATTGCAGAATTATTCACAACAGCCACGAGGTACAAGCAACCCAAGCAACCATTGATATATGAATGCATAATGAAAATGTGATATATATACACACATACCATGGAATATTATGCAGCCTTAAAAAAGAAGGAAATCATGTCACATGCTATGACCTAGATGAACCTCAAGGACATTATGCTAAGTGAATCAGCCAGTCACAGAAGGACAACTACTCCATTCATATGAACTATTTAAAGCACTGTAGTCTAAATCATAGAGACAGAAACTAGAAAGGTAGTTGCCAGAGGCTAGGTGGATAGGGGAGGGGTATTAGTGTTTTATGTGCATAGAATTTGTTTCACATGATGAAGAATTTCTAGAGCCCTGTTGCACAACAATGTGAATATACGTAACATCACCGAACTTACATTTTAAAATGGTTAAAACGGTGAATTTGATGTTATGTGTCTTATTACAATAAAAAAGTGTGAAGCTGAAGCACATGTCATCTCTTCTCATAGATGTCCAAAGTTTAAAAGTACAGCTTTGGGTTGTGAGTTATTTAATCAATGAAGACTCCAGTTTCACTGAAAACACAGGTGATGACAAAAATGATAGGACTTAATACCACCAAAATTTCACACTTCTGGCCATCTGCTTTTCAGAGTCAATGAGTCTTGAAGACAAATTAACATGTGGCATATGAAAGAAAGGCAGGAAAATTGGGACTCTGCCCAGACCTTCAAAGACTAGCACTATCCATTCTGTTTGAAAGCAGTTCTTTTATATATGGACAGGTCTTTCACATTCCAGGCCAAACTCTTATCTTTATATAACAATTCTCTACGCCTAATTCATCCCCATGCATCCCTCATGGATCACTATCAGCCTCAAGCACAGGTAACCAAGTGCTGGATTGATTGCACTTCTGATCAATTTCTTTTGTGTTGGTGCTTACATCTGACTACTGTTGCTATGTGAGGTACAGGATAAGTTAGAATAAGCAATGAAATGTAAATCTTCATAGAGTTATAAAAGCTGCAATTCTTTTTAGAGACATCCTGTACACTAGCAACCAAGGGGCATCGCTGGCACTTCCTAACCACACACTAGATCATGCCGCCGAACCAGCAACAGAAGAGGTAATTCTCGGGAAAACTGCAGAACGCCAACGTTTGTGCTTGTTCAATCCCAGCCCCCACTTTGCCCGCGTCCCGACAGGCAGGGTGGGATACTTGAAGCAGGAGTTCTGTATCAGCCTGCCAAACATGGTGCAAAACCCGTCTTACTAAAAATGATAAGCAACTAGAGCAGCGTGTAGTGTCAGCGCGCCCGCGTAAGTCCCAGCTACCGTGATGGCTGAGGATGAGAAGTCACTTGAACATGCGGATGCATAGGCAGGTGAGCTGAGATGGTGCCACTGCACCTCCAGCCTGGCTGGATGAGGGACTCCATCTTCAAAAGAATAACAACAACAACAACAACAACAACAACAAAAACAAAGAAAACCAAAACAAAAAAAAGAAGAAAGACTCAAACGAAAGAAAGAAGAAAAGAAAAAGAAGAAGTACAAGTAAGTGGAGCTCTCTTCAACCCTATTGAGTAATAAGCCCTGAAGTTGGGCCCTGAAATTTTCTGTATTTCTCACCCAGCGCCTCAGTAGACTCTGAGCCAGTGAAAAAGCAATTGCAACAAAGCCAGAATTATAAGAAATGGCGGCCGATCTAGCAACTTAAAGAGTTCTGCACAGCGAACAGGTAAACCGGGCCGTATATCAGAGTCATTAAAGAGCCAAATCTACAGAATGGCGAGAAAATTCTTGAGCAAATCTGCGCCCTATCATCTGCACACAGGGACGCTAAATATCCAGCACATCTTAAGAGCAACTTACACAAAACTTTACAATAAACAACACATATCACCATCAAAAACTGTGGTCGCAAGATATGACACAGACACTTCTCAAAAGAGAGGACATTTATGTGGTCAACACAACATATGAAAAAAGCCATCATCACTGACTTAGAGAAACGCAAATCAAACCCACAATGGAGATACCACTCACGCCAGTTAGGAATGGTGATCATTAAAAAGTCAGGGAAACAACAGATGTTAGAGAGGTATGTGGAGAAATAGGAATTTTTACCCTGTCTGGTGGAGTGTAAATTAGTTCACCATTGTGGAAGACAGCTGTGTGATTCCTCAAGGCACTCTAGAACCAACAAAACCATTTGGGTCCAGGCGAATCCATTACTGATATATACCCAATGGATATAAATCATTCTGACTATAAAGATTACATCGCATCTTATAAGTTCATTGCACACTATCTTACATTAGCAAAGACTTGGCAACCAACCCAAATGGCCATCAGATAGACCTGGATAACAGAAATGTTGAGGCGATATGATACACCATGGGAATAACATATGCAGCAAAGAAAACAAGTGATTCATGTCCTTTTTTCAGGACATGATGAAGCTGGAAGCCACCATTCTCAGCAAACTAACACAGGAACAGTAAACCAAATTAACATGTTCTCACTCGTAAGTGGAAGTTGAACAATGAGAACACATGGACACAGGGAGGGGAACATCACACACCAGGGCCTTTCGGTGGTGGGGGAGCAAGGTGAAGGAAGAGCATTAGGACAAATACCTAATGCATGTGGGGCTAAAACTACGATGACAGGTTGATAGGTGCAGCAAACCACCATGGCACATGTATACCTATGTAACAAGCCGCACGTTCTGCACATGTATCCCAGAACTTAAAGTAAAGAAAAAAAAAAAAAAAAAAAAAGTAAGAACATTGAGAGCCACTACCATAGATCTTTTCCTGTGTGAAAGAGGCCAAATAAAATCCAAGTCCTACCAGCAGATGTGTGAAGAGTGACAGCAGGTGGCAGTGTTCGACTGTTTCTACCTTTTCTAGCACTCTTCACCATAGAGCAAATGAAATTTGTCACAGGTTACTGATCATTTAGTGAAAAAAAAATTTCATTGCTGTTTTCCATTTCAAAAAACAAAACTTTAATTTTCTGTAGATACAGCACCAAAACCTAAAAATAAAACATACACTTTTTTCCCTTTGTGAAATTTAACTTTGGAGGTAGTTTTTAAACTGTATTCCATCAAGGTAATAAAATGCCTATACTGGGACCCTCTTAAGGTATATTCACATGAAGTCAACAAGATTTCCTCCAGCCCCCACCCCATGCCCTGCCACTCTGTACTATTTTGTTTTCTATTCTGTGCAGCCATGACTTTTACTTGCCCAATTTATTAATATATAAATATCAGTGCGAACACTGAACTTAAGGATAGTTTATATTTTGAAAAGGGTTCCTTGCAGTGTAGGCCAGGATATTAACCATAGTCCATTGTTTGGACTTGGAAAAGAACTATTGTTGTCTTAAGAGATTACATGACACATACATGATTTTATAGCAAGAAAGTCAGGAGCAAGTCAGGAGTCAGGCTTTCCAAGCAACTGATTCTTCTCCCCACTAGTGGAACCAACTCCAGTTGCTTTCTGATTCTCAGGGGCCACGGGGATCCAACCTGACCTGCCCAGAGCCTTCTTGAAGGCTGCCCTCTGAATGACCCTTCCTAGATCCCAGAGACTGGCCCACTGCACTGGGCTTGCTCAAAGGAGGACCAGAAAGACCATATTGAGCTCCAGACATTGCCTCGTCCCTTTCACCATACTCTCTAAACACAAAGAGTTTTGAATTTTAACATTATTGGACCCTTAAGAGCTTTTCTTGATAAATGGCTCTTTGGATGACAGGTACAATAGCATCCAATGCCTTCTCCAAGACGAATGACTACTGTAATAACAGCAGTACACTTAGGGCTATTCTGTCTACAACTGAAGCTTTTGTTTTCTGATATTCTTTTATCGCTAACACCAATTTGTTCCTGTCAGCAAGCATAAGCTATCGAGGCGGAATGCCATGTACAGAAGGCAATGTTTGGTCTTCCCTACTGGCATGTTAAATATACTTTCCTGATGCAATGTTACATTTAATGTTGTGCTGCTGGGGAGAAAAATTCATCAGTGTCTCTTCAGCTCATGATCCTATCTTGTCTTGAGATCACGTTTCATTATTCCTCAAGCCAAGAATACACGGGGTCTGGTCTATGGCCAAATAATGTGATTCTGGGACATAGATTGGGATTACTGAAGATAAAGTGGCCTGGCTATGAGGCATACTGTAAGAACACATGTGCTTATTAGATTGCATCCCATCTCCGCGGCGGCTGCTCTCCTGCCAAAACTGAATGCTACTAAGCACATACCTCCCCTCAGCTCTCAAGTGAGTCACAAGTTTGCTTTCATTCCAAAAGCAAAACATAACAGTGAGAGAGGCCCAGGGCCGCTTAAGAGCTACAAGCTGTCGGTTCGTGTGGGGACAGAGCCTGCCTTCCAGCTGAGGCAGCACCCCGATAATGCCAAGTGGCGCCTTCAGCATTCT